CCGCCCCGCCCCGCTCCGCCCCGCCCCGCCCCACACCTTGTTATCATAAATGATATTAAATCGTTGTTGTATATTACAATTTGTGTATTTTAGTGTAACGCGGTGTTAATCCGCACATTGAATGTTTCCTCGAGTATTAATAAAAAGGTGTTAGATTAGTGTGTACGCAATGTGGGCCGGCTCCGCGCCGCACCCGACCGGGACGTGGACGTGGACCGCATTTTTAGGTAAATGTTTGTAGATAATGTAATGTTCATGTTCCGTGTAGTGTCGGCGCCCCGAGCGACCTCTCCACGCTGACTACTTTTGGTCAAACCTATTTTCCCTTGTGAAGGGCTCTTTTCTACGGATTACGTATTTGTCGGACGGTCCTATGTTGTAGCGGCGAGTTTCTTCACCGTCGTTTGTCTTTAAAAATATTTATCGTGCTTTGTAAAGTGCACATTGGTGTGAGCAGTATTGGTATACGATGTATGCGCGTGCCGGCCGCTACAACCACTGTATATGTATATTTTGCCTGCGGGCTGCGCGCCGCCCCCTTACTTTGAGGGATTCGATCCTTGTATGTTAAACAGAGTTAAAAAATGTTGTGTCTTTGAGAATTTTATTGTTAAATTGGAATACAGATGAAATAATTATTTAATAAATGTATATATATTATATATATATATATTTGGAAATATAACAGCATTTTTATTTTCTAATTTGAACATTTATTTTATTTCAACCCTCTCCCAGCCGTTTGTCTTATTAATAAGCCTGCAGGTCACATAGGTTTTCAACGAAACAAGCGAGATTACCTTTCTAAATTAGCATTTAAAAAACATTATTAGAGAATGGAAATTAGTTTTATTATAAATTAAAGTGAAAAATAAGCGGAAAAGACTGGCCGTTACTTTCTGGAACCTGAGACCGAAATCTCTGAATAAAACATATCGTCATTCCTGTCATATCTTTGAGAAAACAGAGAGAGATGTGTTTTAAACGGGGATTTTGATCTTAACCCACGGTTAGTTGTTTAATTTTATAAGAGCTACAATAAATGTCTTTACCGTGGGTAGACTCTGACAAAGCCACCCAATTTTGAAATATTTAGAAAATATAACATAAAGTACTAATATAAATACTCTTTGGTAAAAAGCTTTATAACAAAAAGTTTGATCTTTGACTGTCATGTTCTCTTTGGGTTACGTCAAACCATAATGTTTGTTTAGGGATGAACTAAAATATAAATCGAAACAAGTTATTCAAAAAAATTTATGAATATTAAGTTTTAATTACAATATTTCGAAATATTTTTTTAAGCCCTACACTTTGGTATTGTAACTTGGGAGTGGAACTGGAATTAATAATATCAATCAGATTTCACCAGAATGTTGGAGTAATGGAGTAAAGTTATCACTTTACGTTGTGTAATGTAATTACATAGTGTATCGAGATGCTTTCATTACCGTGATATAAATTATTCTATGTTTTTTTCATTACGACTAATGCAATAAAAACAGGTTAAATTTGACTCTAAAACAATAAGCTATATTTTGACGTTTCAAATGGAACCAAAAGCATTAATACTTTTGACATATCGATATTTTTAAATCTATGCACATCTCTAACGCTGACACAGGAGCATAGTATAGCGTTATGGTTTTTTTTTAATTAATCTTCAAAATCGATTCAATTAACGATAGCTTTTAAAAGTTTTGTTGAAAATAAGTCCCAATGTTACTAAAATGTGAATGTTTTTGTTATGTTTTTTGGCTTTCCGACAATTCTCTAAATAGTTACGTTGTATTTGTTATGTGTTGACCGTTTGTGTTTGAGAAATGTCAGTGGAACTGGACTGGAAGTGGATAGAGTTGTTCATTGAATATCTTGTTTTGTAAGTTGAATATGGCTTAAAGCATAACATTATCATTAAAATTATAACAAAGAGTGACACTATAATTCCTGCGACAATTTTCTTAAGGTAGACGCTCAGATGAATTTTTAAATCTGTTGCAGTATAATTTTTGTAGACAATAAAAACTATATTAGGTACAGAAGATGAGTGTCGTTCATAATCGATTCAATAATTTCTTGATTGAAGCTCATAAACAAAGTCTACCACTAATTGGGTAGGGATACTACTTAAATTTCACACCTAAATTCTTCAAAACAGTGAAGTACAAATGCTGCCTATACACATTCATGTTTGCAGATATCTTTAATCAACAGAGAAGGAATCGCAAAAAAATTGGATATT